TCTTTTTTTACCAAGTATAAATCATATCACAAATAGGGTTAAGGTATAAGATAAAGAAAGCTTTATCATTCTTAAATAATACTTCTAGACAGTAAGAATAAGTTTAGTATTCATTGTTTGTAAAATTATTTTAGACATCTTAATGAGATTATGTGATTTAAGAATGCTTTGTATTTTAAAATATAGGCTTTCTAACTTTTCTGAATCTTCTAGTACTATAATCATATTTGCTATAACAATCTTAAAAGTATGATTTTTCAAGCAAATATTCAAGTAATAAAATGAAGTTTGTAAAGATAAAATAATCCATTTGCATTTTATATATATTGATAACATAATCATGTGATAAAAAATAATATAATATTGTGGCTTAAACCTGACTGATACAATCTCAATTTTCATAAACCTTCGTGTAATTTCTTTTTTCAACTTTTCTCTCTCTATGTATACATCTTCGTAATTATTCCCTAATGTTAAAATAGAGAAAAAAAAATATATTTCACGTTTCTATTTATGGTAGATTATTTAACAAACTACTTATTGAGATATTGAACTACTTTACATAACAGAAGAGATATATTTATAAGTTCTATATCGTTCTATTAACCATTTTCTCCTGCAACTCCATATGTTATCTTATTTTAAATACTTTTTTATAGTTCTTGAAAACTTTGAGGAGATTTTCATTATAAAATGCTAATTTATTCATAAAAATTTTTATATTCTCAGTGATAAAATTAATTATACAGAGGGTATCAGCATTTTTAAAGTCTATTTTAACTTTAGAATATTGCTTTTTCAAAAAGGTTTTCACAAATTTTAGCAGGGATTATGCTTGTATGATCTTAAAGGAATGTATAGAGTTCTATCTTTATTAAAGTATAAAATATTTCTATGATAGCTTCTTATTTATTGACTGAGAAAGAAAATTTCTTTACTGGTAAAAGATTTCTCTATTTGCAATAGCGTATTATCTATCATATCTTTTTTATTAAACTTTGCTGTTGGACTTAACCAGCTGTATACTTTAATATTTGTCGTAATTTTTTCACAGAATGATTAGTCTCTATCTAACATATCACGAAATAACTCATATATAGATTTTCAGTAAATAAATACTATGTAATACATTCAAAATAGAATTAAGGGTATCTTTAATATTTTTGTCTATTACTTCAGTTTTTATTTAAGTAGAAATTTTCATTATAAAAATTAGAAAAAAACTAAAGTCTCAATATTATTCAAATAATCATTGATAATTAATTAAAATACTACAAAATTTATCATAATCATGATATTTAAATCAGATCGTTTATTTAAAGTTGTAAAACACGTCCGTTATATCAAATTAGTTAAATTATTAAGTCATAACTCACAAGCTATAAGATCATTAATATATATCACGTGATCTATATAATCTATAAAAGCTCTTGATTTTTTTTTGTAACTATCAAGGCTAACTCTCTAAAAATTGCACTCATTGTTGTATGTAATCATAAGAACTATATTTGATATTTTTAAAAGGTGTGAAACATACTCTGAAAATAGGATTTTTTTAAGCTTCTTTAAATTATAACTATATATAAGGTCTACTGATTTTGGAGGAAAATTCGATTACATATCTTCCTTATAATAGTCAAAGAAAGATTGAATTAAACATATTTATAAGACTGACACTTCATATCACTTGGGATCATTAGATTCACTAGCCTTCAAAGTAATAATTTAGGTCAGTATATTTTTATGTCGGTAAAAAATAAAATCTTTTTCACTAATACCAGAACTTTACTTTTTTTATTTGAGCCTAAATAAAACAATTAGATACATTTTTCCATTATCATATAATGAAAAAAAAAATTGCTTAAAAGTTATTCAGAAATATAAAAATATAATAAGAAAAAGTTAAGATTGTTCTTCTTGTATAAGACTAAAAAAAATTTATAAATAGATAATAATAATGTGAATATCATTTAACAATTTCCACCAATAAGTTTTCATTAACTCTATTTAACTTTTTAGATAATTTATAAACTTGAAGACTATGAATTAAAATTAGAAAATATATAAGGGAAATAAAACGCAGATTGGAAATATAGAGACTATACTTATCAATGATATATATTTTGGCTATTTGCTATATATTATCAAAAGATTATCTCTTTAACTTAAAGTTAATACAAAAAGAATATGGTTGAGTTGATTATGATTAAGGCTTTTGAAAAACTTATTTGTATTACAGAAGAAAAGTTTCATTAAGTGTCTATAGGATTTGCTCAGAATTTAGTCTAATGTGAAAGCTCTCTACAAGTTAATAAAAAGAATAAAAAATATAAGTTAGGCGAAGCGTTCAGAAAAAATTTCAGTTATATCTACAGTATTATTACAACAGTCTCAGATTAGTATTTTATTCTTTTCATCTTAGATGGAATATCAAGTACAAGTAAGGATCCTATCAATATTTAATTTTCAGATTTTGCTTTAAAAGAAGGATCAGAGGAAAAAAAAGATTTGCATAAAAATGTGAAATAAGTTATAAAGATTATTATTGGCTTATTAAAGGATATGTTAGAGTGTATGGATGAAGAACTGGATAGAAAGAAGATTAGAATAAAAAAATATCATTCACATGTATAATAATAGTATAGTCTTCATGTATTATAAGCAAAGTTCTGATCTTTGTATTTATTTTTACATGTATTAATAAATTTTTAAAAATTTAGTTTAATTATATATCATTTATTTAAAATAATAATTTTGATTATTCCTATTAAATAATATTTTATTATTTAATAAAAATGACATTTTGATTATTTTATCAAATAATCTTTTTATTATTTAATAAAAATAATATTTTAATTATTCTTATTAAATGATATTTTATCTTTCTTTTCAATTGTTATTTTTATTATTAATAAAAATAATTAAATTATTATTTTCATTAATCAATACTTTTATAGTTTAATGAGAATAATATTTTATTTTTATTAAATAATACTTTTATCATTTATGAGAATAATAATTTTGATTATTCTTATTAAATGATTCTTTATCATTTAATTAAAATAATTCAAATTAACTTTTCAGATTAATTCAAAATTTTTAATTTGGTTTAAAAAAAAATTTGAATTAAACTGAACTGAAAATTTTTAAATTGATTTTTATTAAAGATAATTATTATATTAAAAAATAATATAATTAAATTATAATTTATAATGCAATTAAATTTATTTATAATATAATTAAGTTATAACTTAATTGAAATTTAAATGTAATTATAAAGATTATCTTTAATTTTTATGTAATTTAAAACTAATTTGAATTTAATTTGAATTGAAAATTTTCAACTGTTAGAATTTTAATTATATTAAATTAATATTTGTATAGATATAATTTTTTAAAAAATCTATTAAGTTTAAAACTTTTATCAATTATATTATTTGACTTGGTATTTATTTTAAAAATTCATATTATAAATTTTTATTGTTTATTTATAACATTAATAATATAAAATTATATTATATTAGAACAATAAGAACAATATGAGGGCGGTCAGTAGAAAAGGAGAAAATTCACTTTTGAGTTGAAAATTTTTTTATTAGTTTACTTTGCTGATTATAATCATATGAACTAAACTAGTTTAATAATTAAAATTACTCAAAATTTGTAGATTTCCCTTTTTTCTATTGACTGCCCCTTATATTTATTATATTTATTAGTTTTTAAATATATAAAAAATATTACAAATAATATTGCAGATGAAATCTAGAGATTTTACAAGTTGTTTAAATGATAAAAAATAAAAATTTAATAAAATTTATTAAAAAATCTGTGAAATTTAAAAAAAGATCAAAAATTTATGAAAATAGAGAAAATATATTAAAAATTAGTGAAATTAAAGATTTAAATGTTTTACCAATCTAAAATTAATTTAGATAAATAATTTTAATTATAAATATTTATTAGTTTATATTATATATAATTATTAATATTAAAATATATTAATTTTTAAATTTTATTTTTAGATTTTAACTAATAATTATAGAACCCCAATTATTAAAACTTTATTATTAATTAGAAAAATTTTAATTATATTAAATGAAAATTTATTTATTTTATTATATTTTAGAATCAAATTAATTAATAAAATTCTTTGATCTATATTATAAAATATTTAATGTATTATAATATGATAAAATATATTCATTTTAAGTATTATATAGTATAAATTATTTATTTCAATTTTATAAAAATCACTTAGATATTGAATTTGTTATATAATTAATTAATTGATTTAAAAAGTATTAAAAATAATAGGAATAATTTCTTTTCTACATCTTAAATACTAAATAAAAGTATTTCTAATATTAATTATTTGTTTTTTATGTACTATTAATTAAAAAATATTTAAAAAATATTTTTATGAATTTAATGACTTTGGTTAGAAAAATATTAAATAATAATAATAATTTGCAATATTATATTAAGATATTCTTATTTACTATAATAGAAAATTGCAAATTAAATATTGAGTTAAGAATAATAAATTTTTTTTTTTTTACTTTTTATACTTGATACACTTTTTTTATATAGTTTTCAATATATAAATTTTTAAAAACTTAATAAATTTAAAATATCTATTAACAAAAGTTGTTTTAAATAATAATTATATTAATATTTTACATTTTAAAACCACAAAACTAATTGAAGTTTCACGTAAATGCCAATAATTATCATATATATATCGTTGGTTTATTTTTAGCAAAGTTTATGTTAAAGGGCTGATTTGTAATACAAACTGAAACCCAATTTAACAATTTTTAAGCCTCTCATTTTTCCTATATCAATTTTTTTTTTAGTCTATGTGGTATGTCAAATTTTCAGTATATAGTGAGCAGTTTCAAAAGCATTCCCAATTTTTTAAAAAAAGTAATGAATAAAATATGAAAATCTTTTTATTACTCGTTCTTACGTTATTCTCATTAATCATTCGTATTTCATCAATGCCACAAGATCCCGATTTTAAAGTTTCCCCATCGATTTCCGTAAAATTAGTTGGTCCAAATGATGAGGATAAAGTACCTGCATTACAAATTTTTCCTCTTAATTCGGATATTAATATTGAATGGAGTAGTGAAGGAATAAATGACGATTGTAAGTTGAAAAACATTAATTACATTGAAAAAAAATTCTCTCAAAGATGATTAACTCGAATTTATTTGTTTGTCTTTTAGCAACCGTATTTATTCAAGTCCATTATATCTTTCCAACTATACCAAAGGAAACTTATGTTCCATTATTGAAAGTACCAAAGGTAAATTTATTAAAGAAATTTCTTAAATTTATTTGTTACTAATTATTTTTTTTTATTTTATATGAAAAAGATATCGAAATTAAACGAGAATTCGATCAAATTAAGCCTTGAATCGGAATTATTTGAAACCGAAAAATTTTATTTAGTGACCGTTACTTTGGAAGGTGATGAAGACGTTGTCGGTTCTTCTGATCCTTTCGGTATCTGTACGGCGTGTACATAAGAGAATTTTTGAATTTAAGATCCAAATTTAGAAAAACCCTGTTTCACTTCTTTAGACATCAAAAAATATATTTCGGAGATAATTTTTTTTTTTTCGGTCGGAGTTATAAGAATTAAATTAATAAATGCATTGTTCTCATAAGTTGTAATACCTT